CTCTATGGGAGTGTGGTGACTTCACTGAAACTTGATGAGTTTATAAATTGTTCTGAACTTCTCATTTTGCTTCTGCACTACTGTCAGTCTATGTTAAAAACTGCATCTTTATATGATATAAACTTTGATTAGAATCTGATTAAAGTTTGATAGAGACTTTGATTAATAGTACTGTATGGAGAAGCCAGAACAAACCCCCCAGGGGCTGATGAAGAAAAAAATGTCAAGTGCTGACTATCCAGCATAATATGCAGTAAACAGGAATGAGAATCTATAATTTAAACAATGTGTTAATTAATACAGCATCAATAATGAAATCTGTGGTAAATCCAGGGAGTAATCTTGTCTAACTGCTCATCTAGGAGCAGCTAGAACACCATGCCCTTGAGTAAGAGGACAGTAACTGTACGCTAACAGATAGGAGTCTCTTTCCAGTCAGATGAGCAGCGGGATTTTTTGCTTGCCCTTTTTTACTAATTTTAAGATGAGAAATCTTTCTAAAATCAAATGTCCTAGTGGTAAAATCAAAAGAAGTAAAAGGAGAGTGCCAAGGGATGACTGCCAGTCTGCAGGCATGATTCCAAAACAAGGTGCCATAGAGAGGGCCAGTCCTGAGCTTCCCTACCCACCCTGATGCCGTGTCCCCCCCACCTCCCCAGGACTGGCACAGCCATAGGGAGTCCAACTGGGTCATGCTAAGCCTCAACCAAGTTAGCAGTGGGGAAAATAAAAGTGTCCGAGGGACCCAGTGCGCAGCCACGGGAATGCCAGTGATGCAACGGGAACACGCAGCTTGGGTGAGGTGCCAGTAGGACTTCCCGTCATTAAATCAAAGATTTCCAGGGCCAGCTCACAGGTGGGTTTGCTTCAAGTGATTGCAGAATAACCTCCCTGAGCCAATTTGCCTGTCCAGGTCTGTCTATTACTTTGTCAGTCCTAAAACCTGTCAAGTCAGCAGAGTAAATGTAGTGAGATGTGGCCATTATGCTGGATGTCCAGAGATCCAAACAAGGAAGAGTCTCGTAGCTTTTAGACTGATCTTACTGTGTCAGCAGATCTGCCTAATACTTCGTCTACAGCAGTTTATAGTGGAAGTGTTTGTTTTTATAGCAAAGACTGAAACTACTGCTTATTTAATAAATGGCTGGAAGGGGGGAGGCATTTTTAAGGGAGTTACTCGCAGCCTCCTGAATTTATTGGGGTAATTCAATAATCCAAACATTTTTAGCTCTGGTATTTCAGTTCCATGTGACTCGGAGGTAGATCCACTGCAGGACCTGGTTGCCCAGCCCTGGGAGCAGAACTGAAAACACGGGGTGAAGGGCCCAGGCCCACGAGGAGTTTCAGGCAGCTGGTGTATGTAGGCTGGCACTAAGATCAGTTAGCCCACCCTGGCCTCCAGGCTATTGCTGTTAGACTATTTCTGGTAGCTGAACTAGCTCACCTGCGGAAGGTTCAAACAATTCTGTCCACATATATGTCCTTATGCAAATAGATGGATGCAGGATGAGCATCGCTTGTTTCAGTGGACTTTCTGCCATTGCTCCCCCCACATGCAGAGCTGCTCCATTCCTCGCACAGTTGCCACCTAGAATAGGACTGGTGAAGCTAATGAATCCCACCACGAAGCTGCTTAGGACATGACTTTCCTACAGAGTAACTAAGGGAGAGGAGGAAGGACAAAAAGAGGCTAAAAAAGCAACGCAGTTTGGAGGTGCTGCTGGCTCAGCAGAGAAACTGCTGCGGGAATGCTGTACTCAGAGCACATGAAGAGAAAGGAAGGAAAACAAATTCCCATGAGGAAAAGGCAGAGGAATTACTTATTTTCAAGGCACATCTATCTTCTAGAGAGCAGATATTTCTTCAAACTCAAAGAAATGACCAGGGTGGAAAAGGTGGAGGTAATGGGGGGTTAGCACAGCTCCAGCTTAGTCCAGCATCATGCTGAAGTTGTTTGTCTTCCTGTGGAATTATCACTGAGAAATCATCAGCTTCCCTTATAAGCCATTTCACTCTTTCCACTCTGGGAGGGACCGGGCTGATGGTTGTAGGCAGAATAAGAAAGATCATTGCCTCTAATTGTGCCAGTTTTGATGAAGTCTAAAGAAAAAATCAGACTTTTAGATAATAATTTTGATACTCTTTTATCAATATTCAGTTTTCTCTGAGTGCAAACACAGAAGAGAGGTGCCACTCCATAATGACCGTCTGTGGCCTCACACGTAAGCAATGTTCTGCTGCAGCAGTCATGGTGCAGCGGTACACAGTCCTTGCTAGAAGTCTATATTGCAGTTTTTTAATTCATGCATGGGGTGCCCAGGCAAAGTGCTAAAGGATCCTTGTGGTGCACCCTCTGGGCTTTTGAAGTGGCCCTTACTGCAGTGTATGGAACATTGAGGGGGAAGATTTTGCACACATTGTGCAGTATTTTTCTTGATCTTCATAAGGGCGTATATACATGGCTGTATGCGTTTCTTACCTTGCTTAGCAGGGCTTAAGTACTGAAGTAAGAAATAGTCCACACCTAGCCAACACCCATTACAAAATGGTCAATCTTCAGTCACAGTGACAGCATTCTCCTGTTGGGAATCATGCTATTTTGGTGCATTCAGAATGGAAAATATATGCTGTCATCAAATTAATATTTAACAGCTTTTCTTGCGGTCATTAATGGCTTCAGATTAGAAACACCCTGCTTATAGACATTTCCAGTATCATTAATTTCCCATGCCAAATTTATGGTTGGTGATGGAAGTATACTTTTAAGAATGTGGACCAGAGATGGCACTTATCAGTTGTCATGATAAATTTGTCCTGTGGGACAGAGAACTAAAAGAGCAATAATAAAAACCAAGTACCATTCTCTAAACAAAGAAAATCAATCAAATACTCTGTTTATTGACCCATGTTAGAAATCTCTATAACAGGCGCAGTGAGTGGACAGCTAACTGAAGCATATACCTTATGTCTAGGCCTTTTAAAACACCCAGCTGTAGCATGATAATGCTGAGAGAAATTATGCTCTCCTTGTGCAGTCTCACAGCAAATCTACCATGTTACAGTGTAATGTATTATCCTTAATGTTTCTTTAAAAAAAGAGAGAACAGAAAAAGGATTTTCACAGCTGACTACGTACTAAAACATATCAGCATTCATCAGGGGAATAAAATGGTACTACTGTTTAAGAAAATGCTAAAACCTTGTTTAATTTTCTTAGTTTTTTTTTAAATGGAGCCTCTTCTCCGTGGAAGATGGAAGAAAATGGGGGAAGAGAGGATAAGTAAATATTTTCAGCCTCCTCAGCTGAAATCCATATAGTTTTATTCCTTTCTGGTTTCTGATACATGGATTTCACAGGGCTCATTGCAGGCTTCAGGAACCATTTTTGCCTTTTAAATTGAAGCATTTAAGGTTTTCTCTAATTAACAACCATTTGCAGAGTACATCACAGGCTTAGTGCCTACTCACCAGCCACATTTCTCATAGATCTGTTATTGCACTAAAACGAGGGCAAGAGGCCTTCTGTATTAATAGTTTATGAAGATAGCTAAATTACAGCTGACCATACAGTATTCTGGCTGTATTCTTCTCATAAGCCTCTCTCTAGAGTCTCTTTTTCTGGAGGGACAAAGCTTCTTGAAGTGATAATACCTTTCCTGAATGATAATAGTTTGGACTGGTTGGTGTGGGGCAGCATAATTTTGAGAAATAGATGTAGGAAGTTCTTAGGCAATCTTATACAGAGCTCCAACTAATTAAAATAGAAACTTTGGCTTTCTTTTCCCCTTAAGGCGACAGAGTTTTAGATCTAAAGAAACAAAACCAAAAAATACAGGAAGCAGGACAACTGTTACTAGACATCAGTTCAAAGGGGAGGTAAATGAAAAGCCTCTGATTTATCCACAGGAAACTGCCCAGAATCAAGGTCTTCACACAGTTACCCACTTTGTTCCTAGTCCTTTTTCACCCAATAAGTCTCACTTGCATTTTACTTCTAATAAGCTAACTAGACTTAGAGCTTCTTGGAGCAAGGTGCTGTCACAGTTTTATCTCATACAGTGGCAAGCACATGAGATGTTTCTTAAAAACAAATGGGAAAACAGTGCATTTCCTTCCTCCCTCTGTCCCTTTGCCTCTCCTCCCCTCTTCCCTTCACTCCTCACTGCCTCGTGACATTTGTGTCACCTTCTGGATCCCATTCATTCTCATGGACCTCATTCCCTTACCCATAATTTCTTCCCAGATGCAGCCGTAAGGCAAAACAGTGGTGCAGTATGAAAGGAAAGCTGTCAGGAGATAACCAAAAGGAGCATCAAAAAAGCAGTATAAAAGGAGATATTCTGGTATCTGTATCACTGACTGACAGTCCCTATGGCAGGATGTATGCATGCATTCACCATTTTAAAGAAGAAATCACGCTTGCTGAAAGCATCAACCTTAGAAGGAAACTCAGAGCTTGAAGGAATGAATATTGTTGTAATTCTCAGGAGCTGACTTGAGTTATTTCAAATAACTGTGGCTGAGAATTGATGGACACCTGTTCCATAGACACTGGCATTTTCTTCACAGGATAGCTGTTTTCTGCTGTGTCATTTTCTGTTTTGCATAATACTGTATGACCCTCATTACTGCAGTTTGGAGGGTTTTGAAAATTCACAGAAAGAAGCATGGAAGAAGAGCAATAGTTTGATTGATGCAATTTTCACATTGGCCAGTGGATAATCAGAAGAGCTCTTCTATTACAAGGACATGCAGAAAGCAAAACATTATAAATCCTCCCTATAACCCAGGGCCAGTAAGAAAGGCTAAAAAAACTCCCAACACCACATGCTTTCTTGACAGAGTCATTGTTAACAGCTTAATAGCAGCTAGCAGGCAAGATCTGCTCTTATGCCAGGAGTAGGAGGAACACAGCAGTTTGAAAGAAGGATAAATATGTATTTAGAGAAATTACATCTTCCTAAAATGATAAAAAACAAATAGATAAAATGAACCCCTACCTTGGAGAGCCTGGAGTGTACGAGTCTGTACAACAATACAGAGTTGCAGGACCAGCTGTGGTGCACTTTCCAGAAACGTGGCTAGCAAATGCAGCATACTCACATCTGCATACTCATACACCATTTTCCAATAAAACCTCCATCTGTCATTCTCTCCACTCCGTCGACTCCGGATACCCAAGTACATTGTGTGGAAATACCTAGAAATAAAAGAGAGCTGTTACAGAAATGCAGAACGCTATTTTACAGGTAACACTTTTGATTGGAAATAATGAAGATTTTCTCAATGTACTTCAAAACAATGAACACTTATTTAAAGGTGTTATTGTATTGGAATTTATAACAGTTGATGTGATAAGAGTAAACTAAACCGAAGATGAGACTTGCCTTCATAAAACCATTTTATAAGCTTAGCATTGTTTTATTAGTTAAGTATTTTATTAGTTAAGTCTTTTCAATGACCCAGTTTTCTGAATTGAAGTATAAGGGCGATGTGCTGTTTATATGGCCTTCCCCAGAGTTTTTTCAAATAATCAGGGGAAACAAGCTGATTCTGCACTGGTTTTTACTTGGAGCCTGCAAAGAACTGATCTCCTTTCTGCGTGGCTCTATGTGGATTCAGAAGACCACCTGCACTGCAAGCCTAGGGTGGTCTTAGCCTGGAGCGCTGCTATGGCTGAGTTCATTGTCCTGGTTTTCCACCCACCTAATGCACTGGACGTCGTATTTCAGACACTGCCACGCATATAGTGCTTTTTCTCATAGTATGATTATTTTAGGAGGAGAGAAGATGTAGCTGTGAGCTCCTATTTTAGGAGGAGTGGAGATCTGGCTGTGGGTTCCCTTGGTGATTAGAAGTGACTCACTACGAGAGCCCCCGTGCAGCAGCGGCAGCAGCAGGAGGAAGAAGTAGGAGCCAGGAGCCCAACAGGCTGCTGCTGCTGGCAGTAGTAACCAGCAGATGAGAGAAGTAACTGGCAGAAAGCATGTCAGCTCTGGTGGCCTGTGCAGCAGGGGGAAAAACCAGCCAATTAAATAGATTTCAGCGGGTGCAGGACCAAGGAGGGGTTTTAGAAAGCAAGGGATGTCTTCTGATGGCCAAGCCACCCAGCTGCTGTGATGCTTTTCATGATTCCAGCAGAGCTTGCAGCCGGCTCCCGTGACAGCCCTGTCACAGCACAGTGACCCCTCTGGGCGGCCTTTGATCTGCTCTGCTATTCTGATCTGCTCCCCATTACAATGTGACAGAAAGACTAGGCTCCCACCTTGCTCTTATAATTTTAGTTCAAAACTAATTAAGGCTGTCTGAAGACACAGTCTCACTTAATGAAAAATTCTGAAGATTAAGATATTGTCTTGCATCAGGGGTGTCCTGAATCCTACTGGACTGCCCTGTTGGGCTAATAGCTGATGTGGATCTCTCTTCCTCTTTTTCTCAATGTATCTTTCACATCCCAGTCCTGAAAGTATTTTCTTACGAGCTTTTTAATATGTTTTCACAGCACTTTTTATTCTTTTTTTTTAGTGAAATTATATTTGGTAATAAGAAAAATTTTAGTAAGTTTTAACCAGTATGAACTATTTTAATTGGTTAGGATAAAACATTTCTGTATTTCTTTTCACAAGTTTGTGTCTTAAACCCCTTTACATAATGGTGGACCACGGTGCACTATGCAACTTCTTTTTATATAGGCTGCATGCAACCTTTCATCCCTCTTCTTTTCAGTTATAACTCTGGAGGTATGTTCTGCTGAGGAGAAGATTTTTGGCCTCTGACTGAAGAACAGCTCAAGACTAGGTTGCTCCTTTGAAGAATGACTTCTGTGCTTGTCCCCGGTGAACCCTTGTACCCAATGCACTCACCACCACAGAGCAACAGCTTTACTCAGGAATACGCATCAAACAGAACCAGGGAGTAGCACAGAGAAACAGCTGAGAGGCCAGATCTGAGCCTGCAGCATTTCTCTTGACAATGCACATCACAGCAATATAAAAGGAAAACACATTAAATTCACATTTAAATTAAAATCACACCAGGTGGCTTTGAATTTTATCAAAGTCCTATGTGGGAGTGAAGCAGCAATGAACCACTTAGAGATTGAGACCACAGAGGTGCAGTAAACAAGACACCAACCCTACCTCTTGTACAAAACACTGAGCAGGTCTAGATGGGTCAGAGTATGATGGGACAACAGGGGCTCTCCAGTGTCCTCAAGGTTCGGTAAAGTGAAATGGCCTGCTGCCAGATCTGAAAGAAGCCACTGAGCTGGAAAGGCGTCTTTTGCTGCTCGGTTCTGCTAATGGCGTCCGTTGGACCCCCAGGTTCTCAGTCACAATCAGTTTAATTGTTCCTAGATGTCTCATTAGTGTCCTGCAGCACAAGGGACAGGTAAGACTTGGATTTCTTTCTGCAGTTTGTTTTTTTGGGTGGGGTTTGTTTGGCTTGCCTCACATGTGCTCCCAAGGGGCACACCGGGGAATACTGCACGTAAGGGGGGCAGACAGCATCTTCAGCTCCCTTCTTTTGAGATATCACTAACCCTTGCTATAAATACCTAAAGTAGCTTTAGCTGCCGAGGGTTGTGCCAGGAGGCTCTTGCTCTGCCAGTGGAGCCATCTGCAACTTCAGTTCTACAGCGTTTGTGCAAAAAATACTTTTCCTATTATGAAAATGACATGCTGTGCCAGCCAATGTCCCCCAGGGTTCTTTACGTGCTCTGCAGAACGGCTGTGCATGGCAAATATGTTGTGATTAATGAACCCTTATGGAAATACTTCCTCTCCCATTGCACTTTATTGTGAAACACTGGCAGTGAGTTATTGGGGACTGGGGAATCATTGCATCTTTGTCTACTTAGCTCTGCAATTTAGACACAAGAGGCAGAGGAGGAAGATACTTTCTCTTTTTACACGCTGGGGACCAAATTTCAGCCCAGGGTGGTATTTTTTCTGTCCTATCAATTTTGGCCAAATTAATTGCAGGCTGAAACGACCATTTACACACATAATTACTGTCACTGATTTATAGGCACAATCAGGTGATTAGACAGCTAAACATTCTCATTTGCATCCACAATTAATTGCACCAGCAATTGATGTTAGGTGTGCAAATTAGCAGTTATTAAAATAAAAAGATGGTCTCATAAAATGCTTCATATATCAAAGACACTTTTTTTTTCCCACAGTGAAAAAGAAAGAAGAAAAAAAAATTGGGAGAAAGTGCTTTTCTTCTTGTGGTTTCCAAATATAGCTTAACACTGCAGTAATGACACATTCCATTTTATATATATATGCATTATGTAATTGCATTTTAGACAACCTCACCGGAGTCCTATTGTCAGCAAATGCTATACAGACACACTCAGAGGTAGTTTTTTACCCTGGAGAGTTTTCATATTTTGGTATTCTGGTATTGTTTTGGTGGAAAACTGCATTTTTTTATTTTCAGTCCAGGTCGTGGCTCTTATATACAATTATTCCAGAAAGATATAGGACGAAGTAATAATGGCTCTGCATTGAAAAATATCCTACATTCATTGTAGGATAAACTGATGTCAATGAATGTGAAAGAGCAGATGTGAATGTTATGATTTTGGTTGTGATTGCATCCAGGGGCCTCAACTGCAGTCTTGTGCAGGTGCTGTACAAATATACAAAAATTGCCTATCCATTTCCCCAAAGAGCATTTAGTTGACATGAAAGAAATGATGCGGAGTGAAGAAATGGGAGTTAGAGCACCAGAGGAAGAAAGGAAAAAAAAAGGAAGAATGGCAAGTATGGTAACAGTACTGCCATCAAGTAAAGTAACTACTTCATCTAATAAATCAAGATAGTCCATTAAAGTTTCTGATTTCACTAGAAAAGCAAAAAACAAATAAAAAACTTAATATCCCCCCAAAAATCCACAATTTCATAGCTCTCGTGTTGGTGGAGAAAAGCTTAGAACTGAGTTTCCTCAGTTTACAGTTAGAAGACTATAAAGTTTACTATGAGAAAGCATCATCAAACCTTATTATTTTAAAATTAATCCTTTTTTTCTGAAGCCGGACCACTGCTTGGGTTGTCAATGCTGATATAAACAAGCTTTCTATTCAGAATGAAGACAGTGGAGTAGGACGCAGTACTTCCTATGTCACTGATAATCATATGGCAACATATGTATCATTATTTGAGGATTAATGCCTTTTTTACCCTCTGGAGGAAGTGGAGAATGCTTCAACATTTAATTGTTTTAATGTATTTCAGTACATCAGACAGCACTGTATACAGACCACTGATAAAGCATAACCCTGAAGGGTATGAATCTGAGACAAAATCACAAGTGACATTCTTTTTCCATTATATTAATGAGGGAAGGCAGTAAAGTAAAAAACAAACAGAAAAGCAGGCTAGTCCTTGAGCTGCCCAGAAGAAGTGTTCAAGTTGCAAGACAAACAGAAGCAAAAAATTACCTATATTTATAGTTGTGGAAAAAATGTGCTAGGGAAAGAAACATTCATTCTGATCAGACAGTGGCTCTCCAGTGTCTTCAAAATCAAGAGCCCTCATTTTGCTCCGGGTTTACATACCAATCTTGAGGATGGTCAGCATCGACTGAGATACCCACATTTGAAATACTTCTGGTGACACTTCAATTACATGATTAAAGCATGCCCAACTGTCCATTTAATTGAGATGCGGTAGTGTAATTATATGATAATACCAAATATTTATAGGAGCGCTTTCCAAGTATAAAGTGCTTTACAAACACTAATTGAATAACTGGGATGAATGTAAATAATCTCACAGGGTTCATTCCCCAGGAATTGGCAGCTGACGAACCTAATACCTTCCTGCAACAGCAAGGCGTATCGTTTACTCAGCAGATGCAAATCCAGGTGAGATTTCATAAGCCCACGATGGGGATGAGTTGCCCTTTTCTTGTGTGCAGGAAAATCTCCCTCCTTTCTCCCTTATTCTTAGAAATACAGTATTCTGTCCTGAATTTGTGCATGAAAAACCTTCTCCCCAGCTCTTGCTCCCGTACAAGGCAGGCAACGAGGCCACCCAGAATACTTTCCAAATGGGAGACAGTTCCTCAGTCGGTTATTCTGGAAGAGGGAGTTGAGATGCGACTGGCATCTGAGCTAAAGGTTTCCAACCTGACTACAGTTCATCTACACTTTTATAAAAGGCCTTCAGTGAATATCCTGGTACCACT